CAAAACTCAAATCAATCTATTTTCTAACTTATCTCTATTCCCCTTTGGAATTCGACAAAATTTCAAAGAATTAACTTATGTACAATAATTCTTATGAATTAAAGGTCCTAATCGTCACCTCAATATACTAGAAACCTTTTTCCTCAACTCTCAAGACTTTCTCCAACCTTCGATCCACAAATCGAATAACTTCAAAATCGCCTTGGAACTACTTCATCCTATCGGACACCTCTCTCTCGTTTGCTGCTACAAAGGTCACCACGCTCATTGCTAACAGAAGCTCACCTCGGTCATCTTCACTTCAGGTTCAGTCTTTGTACTGTGAGGTGACATCACAATTCTGAGTGAAATCACTTTCCTCATTTACATACTTATTGCTAACAATAAACTTTTCCTGTTTGCCTGGCAGTCTATTTTCCAACAATACTCGCTAACCTTTTAAATTATTCTTTTTGACAATTTTAGAGATGTTTTCTTTAAGGTTTAGCAAGTTCCTAAGTTGTCCTTGTGGGGTCTCTCCCCCTCTTTCTCGGTGCGGTATTACTTTTCTCCACTCGGGAGCACAAGTGTGTGCAAGTTTTATCTATGGCACTTTTCTCTCGTCGGTGAGTTGGTTTCTCTTATTCTATTTTTAAGTTTCTAAGATGAGTGTGAGGTAACCTTTGTCCTAATAAAACATAAGCCCCAAACAAAAATAGAATAAAAGCAGCAATAAAAGTANGTTGCATGGCACTCAAACAAAAGACGAATCAACGAGATTTGAAAATCGCGTAACTCTGGGTCCACATAAGTCGGGATAGCATAAGTTGAGGTATTACTGTACTGTATATTTAATCAATATGGCACTGAAGAAAGAGAAAAGTGACAGTGGAAATAGAAAACGTTTTAGTGTGACATCAGAGAAAGAAATTATTGCAAAATACGAGAATGGCATTCATGTTTCTGACATCGCTAAAGAATATAATGTGGCAAAATCGACTATATCTACAATTATTAAAAACAAAAAAGCATTTAAGGCTGCCGAAGTGGCTAAAGGAGTGAATGTAATATTGAAACAAAGATGTAAAGTTTTAGATGAAGTTGAAAAACTATTGCTAATATGGATCAATGAAAAGCAACTTACTGGAGACAGTGTTAGTGAAGCTATAATTTGTGGAAAGGCTAAAAATTTATACAATGACTTGTTGACCCAGACACCCGGTATAAGTGCAGACAGGCAGGACTTTAAAGCAAGCTGAGGGTGGTTTGATAGGTTTCGTCAACAAACTGGCATTCACAGTGTCATAAGACACGGGGAGGCTTCGAGGTCAGATGAAAAAGCAGCAAAAGCATTTGTAGATGAATTCGCAGAGTGTGTAAAAAGTGAAGGATACGTCTGGAATCAAGTGTTTAATTGCAATGAGACCGGTCTTTTTTGGAAAAGAATGCCTAGACAAACGTACATAACCCAAGAAGAGAAAGCACTTCCTGGGCACAAGCCCATGAAGGATAGACTCACTCTTTTATTTTGCACTAATGCAAGTGGTGACCTCAAAATTAAGCCACTTTTAGTCTACAATGCTGAAAATCCCCATGCCTTTAAGAGCAAAAATGTGATAAAGTCCAAACTGCCTGTATAATGGAAGGCAAATAGTAAGGCTGGGCAACTCGGACTTTATTCATGGATTGGCTCACAGAAGTGTTTGATCCTACTGTTAAAAATTATCTTCAGGAAATGGATCTTCCTCTTAGATGTCTTCTCTTAATGGATAATGCTCCAGCACATCCACCAAATTTGGAGGACAATTTGGATAGTGAACATGACTTCATTTAGGTCAAATTCCTTCAAACCAACACAACTCTATTACTGCAACTAATGGATCAGCAAGTGATTTTCAATTTTAAAAAGCTGTATACCAAGGTACTGTTTACCATGTGTTTTCAGGTTACCAATGATACCAACTTAACTCTCAGAGCTTTTTGGAAGGAGCATTTTAACATCCTGCATTGTATCAACCTTACTGACAAAGCCTGGAGTGAGGTCTCTCACCACACTTTACAATCATCCTGGAGGAAACTTTGGCCAACTTGTGTCCCAGAGCGAAACTTTCAAGAATTTGAAGAAGAGAGCTCTTCTGATGTAGTGCATAAAATCGTGTCCATTGGCAAGAGTTTGAGAGTAGAGGTAGATTATGCAGATGTGGAGGAGTTGCTGAAAGATGAATTAATGACAGAAGAGCTGGTTGCCATGCAGGAAGAACAGTTGAAAGTCTTACAAGAAGAGCATTCGTCAGAGGAAGAGGCTAGGGAAGAAATCACCAGTGCTGAGATGAAGGAAATTTGCAGAAAATGGAATGATGTGCAGGAATTTATCGAGAAGCACCATCCTAACAAAGTTGTGGCTAATAGGATCATTAATTTAATGAACAACACTGTGCTAGTGCATTTTAGAAAAATTTTGATTAAGAGAGTAAGACAATCAACTTTAGACCTCGACTCGAAGAAACTCCTGATGCAGTGCTGCTCAATATTTTTGTGTAGGAGGATTCCTCTTCCAAGCATTAAGCTCTGTAGAAACTAGAACGGATTAATTGTATTTGCATTAATTTCTATGGGAAAAATTGCTTCGGTTAATGAACGGACTTGTGGAATGGATTACGTTTGTTAACCGGGGTTCCACTGTATGTAGGTGAAATCTGAGACCAGCTATAGAAATCTTAGGGACTAGAGGCCCTAAATAACTATATACAAATGTCTGATGCAAACCGAAAGTTACATTATTTCAATTTAAAACTTTCCTCTGAAAGCAGTTAATAGATGACTGGCATGACTCTAATCTTAAAGGAAACATATGATGTACAGGGGCAAAACACTAATAGTGATTTGAGGTGAAGATCATATATTTTAAATTAAATAAATTAAAAATATGATTAAAAATTGCAGCCTGGCATTGTGATGCTGTCATAATAAATAATTGCTCATTCTTGTTCCATTTTTCTTCCTTCTTAAATAGTAAGTGTACTAATTTTGGTGTTTATTTGGGTTATTCCATTGAGCTACTGACAGCTCCAAATAGAGATACTTATTTTATAACCAGCTGGTATATTTTAAAACAAATCTACAGACTTTTAAAATTTCAAATTATACTTAATCTCTATTTCATGAAAGGATAATAAAATAAAATTACAAATAGAAGAAAAATATACAAATAACAAAAAATACAAATAAATAAGAAAATTCACACATCTACTACTTCTATTTGTAATTTTATTTTATTCACTTTTTTGATGGGATATATATTTAAATGAAATTCAAAAGATTTTAAAATTTGTACATTCATTCTGTAATATATACCTTTGAATGTTTGTTAAAGGAATACTTCATTTTGTTTTGTGAACCTGAAGAAGGTTTATGAATGAGGTTAAAAATGTTAGTTGCAGTAAAAAAGTGTTTCTAGAACAGAAAAGATGTATATTTGTATATACATAAAGAAATAATAGTTTATAATAGTATAATAGTTTTAAAATTTCTTAATAGAGAGAAATTTAAATTAATGTGCTTGAGTTGGGATAGGATAGATAACACACCAACAAATTAGCTAAATTAAGAATTAAAATTCAGATTAAAAAAATTATTAGATGCATATTTATTATTCATTACAGAAAATTTAATCCTTTTTATTAAACTTTGAGATAATTTTTTATAGAAACGGTTTTGCAAAAGCAACAGCTGTACAGATTTTGTTTTTGCTAAGCTGTTTCCGTAAACTGTAATGTTGCAGTTACTATTTGGTGTATTCTCAATGAAAAAACTTTTTTGTTGAAATTTAAGAAGCAGGTTTAATATAATAAATTAATAATTATTTTGTATTTTTTGGACTATCTGATATATGATTGGTAAATATAATTTGGAATATGATTTTCATAAATATTTATTAAATAAATAACAAAACTAATAAATTTACTTATTAGTTTTGTTTTGATATTCTATTCATATCATTATTCAGATAATGGGATTATAACTAAGTATTATAGATTAAATATATAACTTATTTTGTATTCTGGTGGAAATAATTTTCTTGTAGATATATATATTCGAATAAAATTCCATTTTATATAATCCTGATTTTTACCTGTCTACCTTGTAGTATAATTCCTCATAATATTAGTTTTAAACTAATTACCCACATTTTTTTCTTTCCTTCATGCAATCTTCTTGTGTTTGGGCTTTGCCCCTCCCATCAACCTCATCATTTTCACCCTGATGACCTGATACTACCTTAGGTTTCCCTGTTTAACCTGGCTGTTGGTTTTATGGGATTTGGCAACATACCTGCCTTTAAAACTATGCGAACCCTGAGAGCCTTACGTCCCCTCCGTGCATTATCTCGACTGGAGGGAATGAGAGTAAGTAAAGGGTATTAGTGATGAATTTATTTTAGAGGTATGTGTAATCTGGGAATACAGAATTGCCAAAAGCATTTCTGTTTTGCTTTGTGCTTATATGTTGCTTGTTGTTCAGCAATTGTGCTTGCAGTGTAAGCTTCCCAAATACACATTAACCTCTTTAATATCACTAATATCACTAATATCAAAGGTGGTTTTGTATGGTGTTGACATGTTTGTTTATGTATGTGTGTGTGACATGTTCATGTTTGTATAGTACAGACAGAAATACATCATCAAATGCAAAAAAAGAAAAGCAGTTAAGGAAACTGAAGAAAATAGAAAATGTATTTTGCCAAAATTGGATAATCAGATTAATATATATTTTATTATATTTGGTATAAATTTTTATATAAAATTTTATCATTACTTATTAATCTGATTTGAAAATCATTTTTGGTAATTTACAATGAAGTTTAAGAATTCATTTATTTAATCAAAAATGGGGGAATCATATCAGCAACCTTCCCTCATCTAACCTAACCTGACCTGCTCCATTATGATGCCTACCTCTCCATCCCTATGGCCCATATGTAAGTAAACAATAAAATTCAACATAACTTCTTACTCTGCTAGGTATCAGTGGTCAATCTCACAGCTACATTAGTAGGGGGTGGAAACATTCAAGCCTTCAAGACAATGCGTACTCTTCGTGCTCTTCGTCCTTTAAGAGCTCTATCACGCTTCCAAGGAATGAGGGTGAGTTGCTAATTACAAAATATTAGTCAACTATCAGGTTTGTGACTCCTTTAATCATTTATAAATACTACAAATATCAATTCTACATTTAGAAAAAATTATCTGAAGTTTTTCTTAAATAAAAGCATGGAAGTATGCCTTATAAAATCAAAAATTCTTTTATGTATATTTCAATGTCATTACTTGATATTTATATGTATTCAACAATCAATGATTAAGTAGGATTTTTCATTAACTAGTAAAATTCAGAATTTAATATTCCTGTAAATTTGTTATAAAATATCAAAAGATGATCTTAAATTTTAAATCCACATGAATAAAATTTTAAAATACTAATATAAAAATTGTATTTTATATTATCAGAATATTAAATTTTAATGATTTTATGTATTACTTTGAAAATTTCTATATAAAAAAATTCTCATTAATAATAAAAAGAAAAACAGTTTTATATTCTCTATATAATAATATAAAAATATTGAAATATTTTGGAATAAGTCTGTCTAAATTATATATGAATGTAGTAAATATTTATAATTGTTTATTTTTGCATTAAATAATCTGCATCATGTTAGCTTAGCATTTATATTTTAGTATTTTGCATGAAGTAAGATCTAAGTATGTTTGATACATAATTGATTCATATTAATACCAAATAAACAATTTTACTGTTTTCTACATATTGAAATACTGTCAAAAATACTGAAAATAATCTGCACATGTTATTAAAATTAATCTGTCATTTAATTTATAAATATGAATAATTCATTTGTCTTTTATAACTTACAATTTAACTCTCATTGAAAAAAAGATAATAAAAACACAAAAACTATGATATTTTCATTTGAGATGAACTAAATATTTTACACATTATTAAAATTCATAATCAGGATTCAGACCTTTAAACATTAAGTCAACAATTTGAGTTGTATGCAAATTAATTTTGAACATATTTTAAAATTGCCATACAGATATTTTTTAAAACCTTTAAATTAACAAATAGGAAATCCATACAAATGAAATAATTATGAATTAACTGTTTAATTACAGCATTATGTTTATATGCAGAGTTTACTGATAATTTTTCAGTGGCCAAATTTTTCTAAAAATATAAGTAAAAAAAACTTTTTGCTGTCACTTATTTACTTTATCAATAGTAATGTATATACAATTTAGCCCACTTAACAGAGCATTGGATTAGGGAGCACTTTGCTCAAGAAAGCAATCTTCTATGTTCCAGATTTTCTCCATTATGTTTTACATTTAGCAGATTTCCTGTTAACAGAGCATCAGATAGTAGATCAATTTATTTAAATGTGCAGCATGTTGGTGGCTTTTTAGAGCAGCAATCCACATAAAGATTTATAAGAGTTTAGCTTTAATCTTGCAGTACATTACTGCCCAGGACATACAGTGACAAGGTTGTCTGCACTACAGTATTTGTTGAGATTTTTTGAAATATGCAATATGGTTAAAAGAAAACAAATAAAGATGATGAGATTGAACAAGACTATGATGAATTGGAAATTGTTCACAAATCAATAAAATCTGTTTCTCATACAGATGAATTGTTTCATTTAAGCATAGTGAGAAAATATTTAGAAGAAAGTTTACTGAATACAACACATTTTGCAAGATTGATATGGTTGAAAAGAACACTGTGAATAATTGTATTCAAAAGAAAATTATGGACTTTTTTCAATAAATTTGTTTTAGTTGTTTATTTCATGAGTAGTTAGGATACTCATGTAGTTAATGCCATATCTGTGAATTATTGTAATAAATTTGATAACAAATAAGTACAGTGCTGCAAGAATGAAGCTGTTTGTTTTTATACTGTACATTCCATTAGAGAACATTCGGAAATTTTAACACATCTGTGTTCACACCTTTTCACCTAGGCTTCCTACAGTGGTAGACTGGCTCATCAGGAAATTGAAAATTTTCCAGTTGGCTAGTTGCTTGGTGATCATTTCTTTACTAAACATGGACAGTAGATTACTATGATGGAACCTATATTAATGCTCAGCACTTCCTGGATTTTATCCCATATTCCCTAGAGGGATAAGCAGATGCCTTAACCAATGATATACATACATAGAATGATATGTATGTGTATCACTAGTGCATGTATGTTTGTGTGTGTGTGTGTGTATATATATAGCATTTATATATTATATATATATATATATATATATATAATACACTATGTTTTTATTGTATTCAATAAAATGATAAAATTGACTATTAAAAAATGAAAACCAATATGTAACTTAGTAAAATTATATGATAGTGAATTTTAATATTTTCAAGTGTGTTATAAGTTATATAGAGCTCTTAAGATATGAAGAGTGGAGAGAGATTCAAATATCATGAACAATACTGGATGATCTTGTTACTTCGAATAAGGGAGAATGAAACAGTGATCCCAACAATGCTCTCTTAAATGGACTCAACTGCAGTAGTAATTATGCAGTATTCATAAATATAGATAATTAGATAATAGGCAATAGGATTAGAATGTGTTTTAAAATAAAAATATGAAGAATAAATAACTTCATTAAATATATGTGTGCTGCAAGAAAAATTTGTAACTATTGACATCAAAACAAAGAAAAGGTTTTGATATCAGAAATTGTTTAATTTCACAATAAATTATGAGAAGAAATGATGAATAAGATGAAAAGTCTGTAGAATAGATAGCTATCAAAATATATAAAGCAAATTGATAAGAGAAGCAATGTGAATTTTTATAATGCTGTATTTCATTACATAATTATTTAAAAATTTTTGATTGTGTACAGCATTTATTCTTGTGAAAAATAGGTCTATATGAATTTCTGTATCATATATACATCATACTATTCCAAAATTTATGTTTAAGTGAGGAATTTATGCAGATTATTGTTTGATGGATTAATTCAATATTTAAAAGTGTATTAAATAACACAGCATTTTTTTCATATGTGTTCAGTTCAAGTTAAGTATATAATGGCTGTTTTGAGGAACTTGATATTGAAATGCATAATATAAATAGAAAATCAATCATTCCTATTATGGAAAATCATACAACTAAATAGCAATTTGAGTCTTCAAATGAATAAAAAATATCTTTTTTAATAAACAAACTATTACATTTCTCAATGAATTAAAGCTATATTAATATATCAATTTTTCTATAATTTTAATAGAAAATCTTTTAATTAACCATAAGAGCTATAAGTATGGTATATCATAATTTCTCAAATATATTAACAAATTTTTAAAATAATTTTACACATCAATAAAGTTTTCTCTTTGATTTAAAAGAAGAAAATCACTAGATTATTAGTAAAAATAACCTTTCTCTAAAAATAATGTATAAAATCTTTATTAGATACATTGGTGTTTAATACCATTAATAAGTTATGCTTTACAATAAATCTTTATCATAAATTTACAATTTCTGTTATAAATTTAGTGAAATGTGATTATGCATGTGTTAGATTAAACATAATTTAAATTCATTTCTAAAAGAAAAATGCAAAATTCTCTTACTTAAAAGGTAGGTAATTTTATTTTATTTTGTAAGGTCAATTATCAATTATCGGCCACAAAATGTAAGTATTATTATTGTTTATGATGTGTTATTGTTTGTGCATGTGCTACTTTGTTTATTATTAAATTCAATGTTAGAAAAGTTATAAAATATTTATGTAAAATAGTATAGATTTAAGAAAATTTTGTGTATAAAAAAAAGGCTGTTTACATGGTTGCTGTGTACACTTTCATAGCTACATTATTTTTCTCATTTTTTAATTAGTTGTTTTTAGTATATGGTACTGTAAATGTTTATAGATTTCAATGTCTATGTGAATTGTATATGTTTACATAGATGTATATTAGCTAACATACTATTTATTTAGCCTGAATAAATATGTCTTCATAATTACATTGTAAACATTATATAGACTGTCAATTAATAATTAAATTCTGTACTTATAAGGCAAATGTACTTTTATGTATTATGTATTACTGCTCATTAAAGAAACCCAATTTTTGAAATTTTTTATTTGGAAAACTTTTTGAATCAACAGCAGTAACAAATTGATTGTAAGCCCTTTGTAACATTGAATGGAATATGGAATCAAAATTGAAACATATCTTTTTTAAATTTGAAAAACCAACTTACAAAAAAATAACATAAGCATGTTTATGTATAATTACAATAAACTTAAACCAAAGACAAGAGGAGCACAAACAGCAATACACTATGCTAAATTCACTATCAGCCTGTTCAAATTTATTTTTTAAACATACAGTTATCTGCTTTCTTAAAGGTAAAGATGAAAAAATATTCTAGTAACTTATTTATTTTGACTTCCAAATAAATCATGAAAGAAATTAAAACAACTGATAAGTGTATTTCACATAGATAAAAAATAATCATAAGTGTTCTCTTCAAATCCAATATTTTTAATGTTGTATTTGAAGAGAACATTTAATTGGATTTATATATAATACTTAAAAATAAATTTCTCAAAATGAAGACTTCTGCAAATGCATAATGAAGTTTCAGATATTTTTAATACGTAGATAAGGGAAACCTAATTGTATAAATAATACATATAGATATCATTTTTGAATTAAATTAATTTCTCAAAATACTTCAAAATGTATTTCAGCCAAAATCTCGACAATAGTAATAAAAGTTCCACTATGTCACTAAACCAATAAACCAGCAAAAGAACCACTCACTTTGGAAAACCTTTGCTTTCCAAATTGTTAATTAGTGACATAGTAGAACTTTTGATATTAATATTAACCAGTGACTGGTTGTTGTTTTCTCAACAATAGCATTCCATATAAAAATAATAGTATAAAAAATTAAAATGTTCTTATTATTAAAATATAGTAAAAGAAATATACTATATATAATACATTTATCTGTTTTTATATTTTTTTTTTAGTATAAAACTAAAATACACATTGTTAAGTGATACTGTTTCTATTTATGGTGCAGTTCTAGAATAATTAAACTAAAAGTTAGAGGAAGATTCATTTTTTTTTCCTTTATATATTACTATAATTAATGAATTAATTAGTTACATGATGAATTGTACATTTAAAGTGATTAATACAAATATGTATCTTGTAGTTATAAATGGACATGGCACCATGTATTTAGCTATTTCATATTTTTTTTTACTTTAATAATGATTAAATTATTTTGCATGTACTGTACGATATTC